TGTGATTTATGTGTCCTATTTCCACAGTTATGCTTCATGTACAAATCGTCTCTGCTGATGTAAATTCRCCACTCTTTTCACAACCTGCTGACACCGAATCCCTGCTGCCAAAACCGGAGCAACGCCTTCACGTTTGTGTCCGGAAAGGTTTGAGTTTTTATTAATGGTGTTATTTTTAGGGACAACTCAGACAAACACGTCACTCCATCACAAAAACAARGATTTTATGAATGCTTGGTCTGAGTCAACCACAGTTGAAGCTTCTTGTTTTAATTAATAAGGAATGGGGCAGTGTCAACAGACTGACCCTATTGTGTTGCAAATTTTATCTAAAAAAAGCCAGCTTTTACCTTTTAATGCTTTTAACAATAGACTTTTACTACTTTTAATGTTTAGCCAACGTTTGCACCTCTTAGCTAGCCTTTCTTAGCTCGTTTTGGCTAGTCATTTCCTTCCTTATGTTTTTAGCAAACCTTCAACTTTGTTTTTTAAATTTTAACTAATCTTTTGCTTGTTTTCAACTTCTAGTAATTTTTATTTTTTAGCTAGCCTACTGCTACTTTTAGRTTTTAACTAGCATTTTGAAACTTTTAGCTTTTAACTATTTTGAAACTTTTAGCTAATGCTTTGCTACTGTTAGTTTTTATGAACTCTTTTCTCCTTTTAGCTAAGCTTTTAACTAGCCTTTTGCTACTTGGAACTTTTAGCCAACATTTAGTTACTTTTAGTTAARGTTTTTCTCCTRTTAGCTAACCTATGCTCATTTTAGCTAGTCATTTCTTTCTTTTAGCTAACCATCAGATTTCAGCTACCCTTTTACTTCTTTTAACTTGTAGCTAATCATCTGCAGATTTTAGCTTTCAGGTAGCTTATCAGTGCTTTTAGCTTTAAACTAGATTTTTGCTGCTTTTAGCATTTTTTCTATTTTTAGCTAATGCTTAGCTGTTGTTACTTTTTACCAAACATTTTTCTATTTTAGGCTAATTGTTGGCTTTGCTTACATTTAAAATGTTTAACTAGCCTTCTGATGCTMTTAACATTTAGCTAATGTTCTGTTACTGTGAGCCAACTTTTACCTACTTTTAGCTAATGCTTAGGTTTTAGCAGTCATTTCCATCCTTTTACCTTTTAAAACTTTTCACTAGTTTTCTGCTTTTAACTTTTAGCTAACGTTTAGTTTAGCTAATGTTTGATCACTTTTAGCAAACATTTAGCTACTTTTATCTATTGCTTTGCTATTAGTTTTTAGCAAACATTTTCCTCATTTTAGCCAGCTGTTAACTATTTTTACCATTTCAAATTAACTAGCCTTTTGCCACRTTTAACCTTTAGTTAACTTTCTATTACATTGTGCTAACATTTAGCTACTTTTAGCTAATACTTTGCTATTATTAGTTTTTAGCAAGCGTTTCCCTCCTTTTAGCTAGGGSAATTTAGTTTATAGCTAATGTTGGTTTTGAAGCAGCTTATATTAAAGACATTAAACCGTCTTTGAAGATCTTGCGGGCCACTTAAAATGCCTCAACGAGCCACATTTGGCCCGCGGGCCTTGAGAAGGACACGTGTGACTTAAAGCAAAAAGCCTGACCTGCAGCTGAAAGACGTCTGTAAACCTGGAGCATCAGGAGAAAACCTGCACACCAACAGTTCTGTGGTTTACTCAGCAGAACCCAGCTGTGCTTCCAAACCTTTTGCTTTCTGATCGGCGGTGAGTTTGTTTGGGTTTCGTGCGGCTCGGCGCAGCGGAAATTATTTTGCCGTTTGATTTGTAAGTAAATCACCTGCAGTCTAAAAACACAACAAACTGGATCAGCTCATTCATTCATGAACCGACCCACACCGCTGGATCCCTCTCCTGTTCTGGGCTGGAAGAGAATTAAAGTAAAACCTGCTCAGAGGGGTTGATGAAAGACCTTTTTATGTGGGGAAAACGATGTCGACACAGTGACCTGCCTGACATTTTTATTTTTCTATAACTCTGCCTGAATCTTTGCTCTCTTCATGTCATTTCTCTCCACCTTTGTGTCTCCCAGCATGCACCTTGCTCGCACTATTTGGGGTCTTTTTCTGTATTCTGTGTCTGTCTGCTCTGTAATCTTTGTTTGCCTGTCTGGTTTTGTACTTACCTTTTGTAAGTAAAGCTTACCTTTCGCCTTTACAACCTGCCTCCTGAGCATTTGGCTCATCTCCTCTGAACCCTGACAGCTCCAAACACCGAGTACGAACTAAAAAGGCCGAAAGGAGCTCTGATTGAACTGGCARTACCAATCAGCCAGAAGGAAGGACTGTTCTTCTTGAAAGCTCGCTTTTCTACTGTAACTCTTTTGTTTTTGCACATGCTGCAATATTTAGAAATTATTCCAAAACGGTTGCTTAAGCAGGGTRGCATCTCAGCTCGGGGTTTCTGGTTTTTCTCGGTTTGAGCGAGACGAGAAGTCGTGCTTCCATCGCTGCTGCTCTTGGTTGTCAAGGGAACATTTCAAGGGAAGCGAGTTACATTCTGAAAGGCCAAGCTCAAATATTTGTATTAAAGCAAATATGTAAAAAAAAAGTAACAGAACCATCATAACTGAATAAAATCATGTTATTTTCCTGTATGTTTTTTTGCAGTTTTCTTCTCTGTATTTAGCTGTTCAATATGGAGCGCCAAGAGGAAAATCAAATGTTAAAAAACACATTTTAATTATTCAGCTCACTTTCTTAGTGTAAAATCCTGGTTTAAATATTTCCACTAAAATTTTATTATTTAGCTCACTGTTCTTACATTTTTTGCTCATTGTTACTAAATGTTAAATCCTAAATCTAAATGTAGATAAATCTTAAATATTGCAGCTAAATGCTAAACTATACATTTTAAAATTTTGGAATGGAATGCAGCCTTTGCCGTTGGTGCACGGCTTTTGTTTTGATGTCATTGTCCTGCGACAAAAGCAAATACTAATTCTGCGAGCACTGCTAATGTTGCTAAGGATGGTATTTAAAATTTAACTTCAACATGTGTTAATTTAAAACAGTATGGGTGGTACTTGTGGTCCAGTTTGAAGTTCAGCTCAGACACCAACAGCAGCTGCAAGCTTGATGTCTTGTAGGGAAGCGTTAGCAGGATTAGCAGTGTTATCATCATTAGCAGCGTGAGCAGAGCTAGCAGTGTTATTAGCGTTAGCCGCATTAGCACCAATAGCAGGACTAGCAGCGTCAGCAGTACTATCAGTGTTAGCAGCATTATTAGCATTAGCAGGGCTAGCAGTGTTAAAAGAGCTAGCAGTGTTATCAACATTAGCAGCATTACCAGCATTAGCACCGTTAGCAAGACTAGCACTGTTAGCAGGACTATCAGTGTTAGCAGCATTATAAGCATTATTAGCATTAGCAGGGCTAACAGTGTTAGCAGAAATAGCAGGGTTAGCAGTACTATCAGTGTTAGCAGCATTATAAGCATTTTTAGCATTAGCAGGTCTAGCATTGTTAGCAGCATTATCAGCATTAATAGCATTAGCAGCATTAGCAGGACTAGCAGCATCAGCAGTACTATCAGTGTTAGCAGCATTATAAGCATTATTAGCATTAGCAGCATTAGCAGGGCTAGCAGTGTTAGCAGCATCATCAGCATTAGCATGGCTAGCAGTGTTAGCAGAAATAGCAGGGTTAGCAGCATTAGCAGTGTCAGCAGTACTATCAGTGTTAGCAGCATTATAAGCATTATTAGCACTAGCAGCATTAGCAGGGCTAGCAGTGTTAGCAGAAATAGCAGGGTTAGCAGCATTAGCAGCGTCAGCATCAGTGTTAGCAGCATTATAAGCATTATTAGCACTAGCAGCATTAGCAGGGCTAGCAGTATTAGCAGAAATAGCAGGGTTAGCAGCATTAGCAGCGTCAAGAGTTGTAGCAGTGTTAGATTCTGCAACTTTGTTTGGCACAACTTTTATATTTTCAAAATATTTACCTCTGTCTAAAAATACAGTAGAAATACATTGAGATATGTTCAGTGTACTTGTATTTTTGTTTTCTTATGCAATTTTTAGTTTCCTTTTAGCTACTTTTAGCTGTAGATAATTTTATGATTCTTTAAGCTTTAAGCATTATTTTTTTTTTTGTTTTAGCTAGCCATTAACTATTTGTTTCTAAAAACTCTTTCAGTAGTTTAGGTTTTATAGTGTTTAATTTGAGCTGTTTGCTTCATTTTAGCTTCTAGCGAGCATCTGCTGTACCTTTGTGGAAAATCCACGTTTCAGCTAATAATATTGCCAAAATACAAGTTTGCCTGTTTTGTTTGGTATTTAATAGATTCATGAATAAATGTGATAAACTGTTAGTAATAAAAGTTAAATTCAAACTTTAAACAAASCATAATGAAATGATGAATGACCCAAGACTTCTGCACAGCACAGTAACTCTGTTATCTGAAACCTTATAAATCATAAATTAGCATTTTGTTAGCATTGCAACATAATTACAGAGCATTAATGAGGACTTAATATTGGAGCCAGCTCATTTTGAACAATTATAGAATTGGGCATAAATCAGTTCTGTACATACAAACAAACAAACAAACAAAAACAATAGATGAAGCTCTTTCCTCTGCGCTCATTAATTATGAGTAAAGAATGGAGAGGAAAGGTAAACGCTGAGTTTGTATAYATAAAGATATTCAACAGAAGTCTGAGCCAGGGTTAGCTGCCCTTTTAATCAAGAGGTTAACGTACCTTTGGACTCTGCAATGCATCACAAAAACCTCGTAAATGATGATATAAATTATAGATCAGTGGACGGGATGTGGGAGGAATAATAAAGAGGATAATCGAGGTGATGTATCATTCTCCAAAACAGATTGTAGAGGCAGAAACAACCATAAGACCACAGGTCCACTCCCCTCCTAATATTTGTGTTTCCAGAGTTTAGCTCCGTCATCACGGCGACTCACGGCCCACAGCACTACCTGGGATATTATGGCCATTTTGATGCATGTTTTGTATAAAAGGTGCGAACAGTAACTATCTTACCTGTTGCAGTAAAGATTTTTGAACTGTTTAACTCAGGTTTGATCCGGCTCAGCGGTGAACACCGATGCCTCACAGCAAAAAGGTCCCGGGGGTTCGATCCTCGATTCGTCAACGCCAATCTGTAAATATGTTTTCATAACTTTTTTTTATTTTTAAAAATGCAAGTCAAAGCAAATACCAAAATATTTTGTAAAGTGTTTTTTTAAACTGGATTTTGAGAAAATCTGCTCCAGAGACAATCATTTCTCATCGTTACAAATTAATAGAGTGAAAAATAAATTTAGTGGGCAATTTAACAAAAACAAACATTCAAAAAGAAGTCTTTTCAGGCATGTAAGAAAAAGATATTTTACCATTTATTGCTGAAACCACAATGAAGTGCAAGTTCATTGTTTTACGGACATTGGGCCTCATGCAAGAACCGTTCGTACGCACAGATTTGTTTTAAATTGTGCGTACGAGTGAAGATTTTTTTCAGATACGAACAAAATTCACGAGTGGTCCAGACCTGTCGTATATTTTACCAGCAGTCAGTCTGCTGTTATCCAGACGG